CAGCTCATGATCTCACAGCTGGTGAGTTCAAGCCCTGCATCCAGCTCTGTGCTGACAGCTCAGAACCTGGAGTCTGCTTCTGATTCTGTGTGTGTGTCTCTCTCTCTCTGCACCTCCCCTGCTTGTGTTCTGTCTCTCTCTCAAAAAGAAATAAACATTTAAAAAATTTTAGAAAAGAAAAAAAAAGAAAATACTCAACCCAAAAGAAGGAAGAAAAATGGAAATGGACAAAATGAAAAAAAAAAAAAAAAAAGGAAAATTCCATTTTCCCAGGGTAGATAATACAAACAGAATACCACTAGCAAGATGAAAGATCAAACTAAAAAAAAAATCAATAATCACATCAAATATAAACAGCATAACGAAAAGGTAGAGATTGTCAGGTTGAATAAAGAAACAAGACTCAACTATTTCTGCCAGTAAGAAATACATGTTAGACACTAAAACACAAAAGGTTAAAAGTTAAAAGGTGGAAACAAATACACACATTATGGTAATATTTAGCAAAAGAGCTGGAGTGAGGACATAATAATCAATAGCGTTTATGCAACATAACAGAGCTTCAAAATATATGAAGTAAAAATGAACAGAACTGCAAGAAAAAAGAAAAATCTACAATCGTAGTCAGAGATTTCAATATCCTTCTCTTACGCAGGCACGAGGTAAAAGTAATTATGCTGAGTAAAAGAAACAAGACAAAAAAGAATACATACTGTGTAATTCCATGTATATAAAACTCTAGAAAATGCACACTAATTTATAGTAACAGAGAACTAGCAGCAGTTGCTTAGGGACTGAAGGGGTATGTGGAGGAACAGAGTGCTAGTAACAGAAGGGCACAGGAAGTGCCCATTTTAAGTAGAGGAAGATCTGTATAAAATAGATGCCTAGAGGGATGTCTGGGTGGTCAGTCGGTTAAGCATCCGACTCTTGGTTTCAGCTCAGGTCATGATCTCACCGTTTCATGAGTTCAAGCCCCAAGTTGGGCTCTGTGCTGGCATCGCAGAGCTTGCTTGGGATTCTCTCTCTCCCTCTCCCCACTCATGCTCTCTCTCAAATAAATAAATAAACTTTATAAAACTTTTTGCTTGTTCTTTAGCATAGAAAAACACAAACTGGAACGCCTGGGTGGCTCACTTAAGTGCCCGACTCTTGATCTCAGCTCAGGCCATGATCTCATGGGTTCATCTCATCAAGCCTGTGTTTGGCTCTGTGCTGACAGCATGGAGCCTGCTTGCGATTCTCTCTCTCTCTCTCTCTCTCTCTCTCTCTCTCGTTCTCTCTCTGTCTCTCTCTGTGCCCCTCCCCCACTCACGCTATCTCTGTCCCTCTCAAAATAAATAAACTTAAAAAATAAATAAATAAAAATAAAAGAATTAACCTCTTCATCATCATTCTCAGGTAGTAATTCTTTTTTATTTTTAAATATTTATTCATTTTTTTTTTTTGAGAGAGAGACAGATACAGAGCATAAGTGGGGCAGGAGCAGAGAAACGGAGACACAGAATCTGAAGCAGGCTCCAGGCTCTGAGCTGTCAGCACAGAGCCCGATGTGGGGCTCAAATCCACAAACCATGAGATCATGATCTGAGCAGAAGTTGGATGTTTAACACACTGAGCCATGCAGGTACCCCATCAGGTAGTAATTCTTAATGCAAGCCCCTCATATAAACTATGGCAAAAGCCTCCAAACTGGTCTCCCTGCCTCTATTCCTCCAATCTCCCAAATTCAGCTGCCACAGATCCTCTTTTTTTTTTTTAAAACATTTTATTTTATTTTTTGAGAAACAGAGACACAGCACAAGCAGGAAAGGAGCAGACAGAAAGGGAGACACAGAATCAGAAGCAGGCTCCAGGCTCTGAGCTGTCAGCAGAGCCCGACACGAGGCTCGAACCCACGAACCACGCAATCATGACCTGAGCCAAAGTCAGATGCTTAACTGACTGAGCAACCCAGGAGCCCCCAGCCTCCACAGATGCTAAGAGTAAACCACTCAATCTCTAAATCTGTCTGCTTTCTATTCTTAAAACCCTAAATGGCAGCTCATCACCACCTCCAATTGTGCATCCCAAACACAGATTCCAATACCAAAAATGCTGAAAAAAGGAAAAAACAATGACAACTTAGGAACTCGTTAATAAAGTTAATGTATTCAATTTAGAGGACTATTGTGAGAGTTTGCTTCCTGTTTTTTTGATGTTCAAATATCCTTTTACTTATGAAAGAATGGGTGAGGACATCACCGTGTTTAAGAAACATCTGCACTTAGGATGTATTATGCTAAGCTAAACAAGTCAGTCAGAGGAAGACAAATACCATACCATTTCACTCATATGTGGAATTTAAGAAACAAAACAGATAACATGGGAAGAGGGGGGAAAAGAGGGGAGCAAACCATAAGAGATTTTTAACTATAGAGAACAAACTAAGGGTTGATTGGGGTGGGGGGGGTGGATGGGAGGGATGGGCTAGATGGATGATGGGTATTGAGGAGGGCACTTGTGATGAACACTGGGTGACATGTAAGTGATGAATCACTAAATTCTACTCCTGAAACCAATATTACACTAGAATTTAAATAAACACTTGAAACAAACAAAAGAAACATCTCCACTTAGCAAATTAAAAAGTTGGCAAATCTTTGACAGCTAAACTTTATTTTTATCTATTTTTTTTTTAATCTTCATTCATTTTTGAGAGAGAGAGAAAGACAGACAGAGTGTGAGCCGGGGAGGAGCAGAAAGAGAGGGAGACACAGAATCCGAAGCAGGCTCCAGGCCCTGAGCTGTCAGCACAGAGCCCCACGTGGGGCCCAAAGTCAGGTACCGTGAGATCATGACCTGAGCTGAAGTTGGACACTCAACCGACTGAGCCACCCAGACACCCCCTGAACTTTATTTTTAATTGTAAAAGCCCATGAAAAGAAATACTGACTTAGACACACCAGAGGTGCAAAGTCCACAAAACAAACGGTGCCCTCATCTATCTTTCTAACTCATCTCTCATTCCCCAGATTTTTTCCTCCAGCAATACAGGACTGCAGCAGTGTCCTACACAAAACCCAATTTTACTCTTTCCCTTTTTTACTCACGCTTTCTCAGAAATGGAGTGACCTCAATAACAACTTCTTTTCCTCACTCATTCAATTTATTGAGTACCTATAATCTTAAGCGTTAGGGATACAGTAGTGAAGAAAAGAGAAACATTATCTTCATGGAGTCACAGTCTAGTGGAGGAAAAAGATATCAAATAAATATAGAATTAAAAACTATGATAATACTGCTTTACAGAGAATGGAATGAAGGAGAATGAAATGGCAGGAAAGCTATTCAATAAGCTACTATAGTTAAGGTAAAAAATAACTGATTTGGACAAGGGTGGAGGCAAGAAGTCAAATCTTGAGCTGACTGTACTTGCTGACAGACTGAACAAGGGGATAAAAGAAATACCTCATGACTCCAATATAAGCAATTATGTAGACTTGCACTAATAGTTCCAATTTTTTATGCCTCTCTGTCTTTGCTATGAGTTTGCTATACTGACTTTAAGGCTTGATGATATGACTTGCTTTGACCAATGGGACAAGAGCAAACTTTTTCCTGGCAGCAGCTTATAAAAGTGCCTGTGCACTGCTGGTTTTCTCTTGGAGTAAAAAGCCTGCTAAAGAATGAGACCACATGAGAAAACCTAACTAAGTAGAAGCCATCTGAAATAATCCTATACCAATCTATAGCTAGAGAACCCCCAAACATATGAGGAAGTCCAGCCAAGAGCAGAGCGACAAAGCAGACACATAGCTGAACAAAAATGCAGGAATAAGCCCAAGCCACGACTAGAAGAACCACCTACCTAACTTACAGACCTGTGAGCAACAATAACTGCTTACTCTTTTGAGCACTGAGTTTTGGGTGGCCTTTTCATGCATAAATTAAACATGATGGTACCATTTATTGACACAGGGTGGGAGAAGGAAAGGAAGGGAATGAAAAGAAAAACCAAGCTCATTTTATCTTACCTGAGTCAACTCTTACCTATTCTTAAAAACTCAACTTAGATATCAACTTCTCCAGGAAGCTTTCCCAGATCTCCAGGCTGGTTTGGAAAGATACTTAAGTACTAACATTGTGTTCTGTACATAACCAGGTCACTGCCTTATCAGACTGCTCTAAATTTATCTGTTTATATTTTTCTTCCCAAGTACCCAACTGCACTTTTATGTCACAGACTGTACCTCATTTATCTTGATAATATCAGCAGGTAACATAAAACAAGGTCTTGATAGAGGTTTCTGAATTTTATAAATCAATTAATAAACACTTATCTGATAAAATTTATTAAGTCTAGATCAGTATTTCTCAAAGTGTGATGCACTCAACACGCATCAGAATCAGTAGAGGTGTGTTAAAAATGCAAATCTCTGGGCCCTTTATCTTTAACGAAAATACCATTCATTACGTTCTAAGAACAAGGATGAATATTTTGGTCAGCCTCAAATACACACAAATAGAAGTGTAGGTACTAAATCAACGTTTCCTCAAAATTTCCTAGAGATATTCTCTAAGATAGTGTCCTTAGACTGACAGCACCTATGCAACTGAAAATCCTCTGAATTGCAATGGAGTTTCTTTCTAAGAAATGAATCTCCGCCATCTGGGAGGTCCTCCAAGGTGTGGCTTCTCAACGCACACGGTTACCGAGGATGCTAGAGAGCGAAAGCGGGGCCCAGGCCAGGGACTGACAAGCGCCCAGAGGCCAGGCAGCAGTTGCGTGACGGACCCTGGAACTCGGGCCGCGCCAGGCGAAGGAGACTCCCACTGGGTTCCGGGATGGGCTTCCCTCTCCAGAGGCGGCCATCCCCGGTCCACGCTAGCCCGACGGGATATACGGAAGGCCCCAGTCGCCTTGCTTGCCCAAGACAGAAAGGAAGAAAATGAGGAAAGGGTCCGGCTGCCAGCAGCCGAAAGTGGGGAGAGTGCCGGGGGTCGCCGCCGCTTCCCACCTGCGTCAAGCTCCAGCTGGTAACAGGGCAGCGGCTCGAGGGAGAGCTTGTAACCCTCGAAGCGGGGATCCAACAGAGGTCTCTTCACGCGCAGAGAGCAATTAGCAGCCACCTCCATAGCCTTCCTAGGTCGCAGCGTGAAAATTAATAAAGCTCTTGTTGAAAGGTCCGCGCTTCGCTCGTAGCACCGAGGCTCGCAGGCGGCGTGGTTCCCATCCCAGAAAACACTGCGGTGTGGGGCGCCGTCTGGGAAATGTAGTGTCCATGCGAAAGTTGACTCTGTTGCATGCCGGGCTATGTAGTCTTTCGGAGACTTAACGCCCGCACGACTGCAGGGTATGGACTTTCTTACCCAGAGGGCTGAGCTACCAGGAGGCGGCCCGCGCTGGTTAAATTCTCACATTTATAGGCAGGGTGGCGAGACCCCGCCCCGGAAATGCGTGTTTTAGCTTTCTGTGTGCTTAGGTGCCCGAGCTACTGAGGGTCTAAGTCCGGGCAGCCGAAGAGTGTGGTAGGTAACGGTCGTCAGCGCAAGGGTCATTTCGTCGCTGGGAAGGGACGGCCCTCGCCCGCGGTGATGGTGGTGAGCTATGCCCGTGGTCCTCAGGGCCGGGACCCGGGCCCAGCCCAGGCTCCTTTCGATGTGCTGTCTTTCGTTAGCTTCCCCGACCCGCGCTCGCGGGCCTGTAGGGCTCTCCGACAGGGCGTGCAACCGGAGTTGGCCTGAAGCCAGTCCACGCTTTGTTTTCTGGCTCCTCCCCTCCCGCCTCTCCCGCTGTCTCCGCCCTATTCTATTTTCCCAAAGAATGTCTGAACTGGGAGGGATTCCCCTAGCGCCCTTGTTTTACCAGTGAGAAAACTGAGGCCTTTAAGAATTGACTTGTCCAAGGTCACTATCCGTATTTTAGGGGCCAAGGCGAGATCAAGTTCAATATTCTAGGAATGGTACCGACTAGACCTTAGAGTTATTTTGAAAATGTTAGCCTCCAACGACATAAGCAAACATTACTAAGTCCTTTCTCAACCCCTCCTTTTTCCTGTTCCACTCAAAAAAAATTTTTTTCCCAACTCAAAACTCATTGCCAGCCTGAGTTTTCACATAGGCGAAGATGGGAGACAACAAAAGTGGTCCCGAGTTAGTGACAGATTAAGTGCAGTTATGTTACTGTATTCCAAGTTTTTACATTCTAACCTTCTTCTACCTTTTTTTTTTTTTTTAACTGAAAATTGAGAATTTTCTGTGTTGGGAATTAGTTCGAGATTTGTTTTCAGCTTTGATGAAGAGCATACACAAACACATACTTGGAGCTAGTTTGAGAGTTGTACTTCTGGGTGCATCCTAGTGAAAAGTAAAGCACTTAGAACCTAATCTGGAAATTTTATTTTTCACCAACAGTACTTGATCTTTTATTGGTATTTAGGTTACATGGCTTCCCAGAAATTTTGAATGCAGTTAAAGTGCAGAAATTATTAGCAGTCAGTTATGATGTGCTGTTAAAGTGTTTGGGGGCTTCTCAGGTCAGAGTACCTGAGTTCAAATCCTGCCTTCACCACTTTCTATCTTTGTGCCTCAGTTTTCTCAATTGTAAAATACAAATTATGTTAATAATTCATACATAAAAAAATAAGTTTTGGGAATTAAATGAGGTTTAAAAAAAGCCCCAATGTGTTAACCCAGTACTGGGCACATAAGTGTTTCATAAATGTGACAATAATTATTATTATCTAAGGACTCAATAAAGGGTATATGGGGAAAGAAAATTGTGAGTTAATCAGTATGACTTATTGGGATGCAGTAAACGATATTAAGAGTAATGACATTGTTAACACAATGTTGAAATTTATCACTCCTTCAGTTGATAGAATGTTAAATGTTAAATGGGATGCTTACCTAGAGGATTTAGAAGAAAATGCTTTGTGGGTATTCTGTATCTGAAAATACATGTTGATGTTCAGGTTAGCAAGATGAACAAAGATGCGCAGATGAGAGCAGCGATTAACCAAAAGTTGATAGAAACTGGAGAAAGAGAACGGTAAGCAATGGATTGTGTTAATAAATTACATTTAACATCTTTAAGTTACAGTTATTTTAATGTAAGAATCTAATATCAAGGAGCAAACTGATGTCAATGGAAGGAATTCCAGAAAATTGAGATTATCAAAAGTTTCAATTCCTAACATCCATAAAAAATAGGTCTGTTCAGTATTGCATGACTTAAACGAAAATGAGTTCTCTAAAAAGATGAACAAGAAATGACTGTCAAAGAATGTATCATCTAACAGAGAAGAAAATATACCCAGATTACTACAGTTTTTAATAGGGAGATAATATGATAGAACCAGTTTCAGTTACCAAACTATTAATCTCAGAGCAGCTGTGCTGTTCTTACTCTCTGAGACATTTTTCTTCCCTGATCTTTAATTCTAGCTCATCTTTCAGGTCTTAATTTAAATATCATCTCTTACAGGAATCCCTTAAGTCCAAGATGCCTTGTTCTATCCTAGCATTTAATCACATTGTATTATAACCACCTGCTTTGTTTATTTGTGTCCTCCAGTATACTCTCAGTTCCTTGACAGTAGAACTACCATTGTATCCCCAGCATTATGCCTAGCACATAACTGACCAGGTAAATATTTGAAGAATGAACACGTGTAGAAGTACTAAGCAGAGGCCCAGGAATCAAGAAAGGCTTCCAGAAGTAGGGTGAAAAATTGCATAAGAGAAATATATTTAAGGAAGAGGAGAGATCTTTCAACTGTACTTGGGGGTTAAAGTAATCAGTTAGAGTAGTATAAGAGGTATTTCAGTTCTGGAAGAAAGATTAGCAGTTCTTCCAGCCAGTAAAGCAGAGAAGACATTCAAGGAACATGGAACAGAATGTGCAAAGTCACAGAGATTTGATACAACATAATAATGTTCTGAGGAACTGTAAAATTAAAGCTGGCAGGTAAAGTATGAAAGTGATATTGCTGGAACAGTAGACAGGAGGAGTAGATTTGGTATAAGTCAGAATTCTTTCATTTGTAAATGGTAGAAACTGAACTCAAAAACTTGCTTAATCAGTGGAAATATATAAGCTCATCTGACTAAAAAGTCAAGAGCTTGAAATTACTTCAGGCTCCACTGGGTCCAAGCACTCAAAAATTGTTACCAAGAATATGTTTTTCTTTTTCTTTCTCAGCTCTCTTTTCCTCTGTGTTGGCTTTATTCTTAAGCAGACTACCCACAAGGTGGCAGAGATCAGCAGTTCAGGATTCACATCCCTCTGGCTCAAACTACCTTTCTCCTAGTAGTTCCAGCAAAGTACCTGGCTTGATTACCATCTTACTTAGGTACATAGGCCAGTTATGATCAGCCTTGCCTGGGTCTCATTTCCATTGCTGGAACCCTGCACAGATTTATTACACTGAGAGTGGTGTCAAAGAAAGGGCAGGAAAATGGGTGATGGGTTTGCAAAAACATCTGACTTTATCCTTGGGTGGGGGGAGAAGTTAAAAGATTCTAAGAAAGGGGATGACTACATCACATTTGCTCTTTAGGAATACTATTCTGGCAATGTGAGGATAGCCTTAAAGGGCTAGAGATACATTATAGAAGAATGTGTTAGCAGGTTATATCAGGTTAAAAATGAAAAACAGCAAAAATGGAAACAAGAACTTAAAATTTTTTAAAGTAAAATCAGCAGTCCTCAATATGAGAAATGAGGAAGAAGACATCCAGAATGGTGCCTTGGGGAACTGAGACGATAGTATTGGCAGTAATGTGTAAAGGGGATTATTTATTATTGTTTATTTGTCTCTTCATTCGTGCAGCTTAAAGTTACTGAGTTTCCAGCATATGCTATGTCCTGTTAAGGTGCTGGTGATACAGTAGTGAACAAAATAAAGTCTGTCCTTTCATGGAGCTTACATTCTAATGGGAGGAGACAGACACTACATCTGTTTTATGTAGATGGTGGTAAGTTCTAGAGGAAAAATAAAGCAGAGAATAATGGGTTGTGTATTTGAGACAAAAAAATAAAGAAGGCTTCACTGGTAAGAAATCAGAAGGATATGAGTGAATGGGGAGGACTTTCAGGAGCCAAGGATCTAAGACAGGAGCTTGCCTGGTTTTTTGAGGAGCACATAGAATTTCATCAGCCTGAGTAAATTGAGTGAGAGGAAGAAGAGAGACCTGGGAAGGGGGAAGATCATGGAGGGTTATTTAGGCTAGTTAGGTTAGTAAGCCTAACAAAAACTTGGAATTTTAGTCTAAGTAAATTGGGAAGCACTGGGCCATTTTGAGCAGAAGAAGGAGAGCGAAGTATATGAGCAAAGGAGTAGGGGGACAAGTTTAGGGGCATTGGTAGTGGTCCAGTCCAAGAGAAGAAGATGGCTTGGACTAGGGGAGTAATGGCAAAGATGGTAAAGAAAACATTTTGATTGTAGGTGTATATTTAAAACTGGAACCAGTAGGAATTGCTCCTGTGGATTATACGTATAGTGTTAACAGAGTTGAGTGAAAGATGCTCCTAGGTTTTCTAGCCTGAGGAACTTCAGGTTAAGCGTCCAACTTCAGCTCAGATCCAACTTCAGCTCAGGTTAAGCCTGAGGAACTTCTGTTAAGCGTCCAACTTCAGCTCAGGTCATGATCTCACGGCTTGGCTCGGCGGTGTGAGCCCTGCTTTGGGCTCTGTGCTGACAGCTCAAGCCTGGAGCCTGCTTCTGAGTGTGTGTCTCTGTCCCTCCACCGCTCAAGTGTGCATGCTCTCGCTCTCTCTCAAGTATAAATAAAAAAAAAAAAAAAAAAAAAAAAAAAAAAAAAAGGAAGACCTAATTAAATACCAAGATGGAACTGTCACATAGGGGATGTCTAGGAATATTGAAAGAGAAATGGTTTGGTTTGGGACATGATGTGTTGAAGCTGAGACATGATTTAGGTTAAAGATTGAAGACTTGTAAGAGTGGGTATGGCAGAAGGATAGGAAATATTTTATTATACCCATGATGCAGTTAGTTGTAATACACACCATTATTTTTTTTAACCTGTAAGGAAAAAGAAAATTCTGCCAATTAAATTATGACAGGCATAGGGCGCCTGGGTGGCTCAGTCGGTTAAGCGTCTGACTTCGGCTCAGGTCATGATCTCGCGGTCCCTGAGTTCAAGCCCCGCGTCGGGCTCTGTGCTGACAGCTCAGAGCTTGGAGCCTGTTTTGGATTCTGTGTCTCCCTTTCTCTCTGACCCTCCCCCGTTCATGCTCTGTCTCTCTCTGTCTCAAAAATAAATAAACATTAAAAAAATTTTTTTTAATTATGACAGGCATACCAATTACTGAATTATTGGAATGTGGGGGAGAAACAGGCTTAGAATCAATGAAATACCATACTTAGTATATAATTTGGAAGCTTGTTGGAAAAAAATGAGGGGAAAGTTTTTGAGGTTAGAAATATGGGGAAGCAAGAGAGCTAAAGGAGAAGAGTTTGTAGTCAAAGAATAGATTTTGAAGATTTTGAGGTGCACCTGCTTCGAGTTCAACTAAAACTATCTAGAAATTGTACAAGACTCACAGTATTCCTGTTGGTGGAGGGGAATAGAAAGTGTATGAGAAGGCCAGAGAGTAGAGTTTCTTGAGAAGTACTTCTCCCTCATCCACTTCATTTAACTTTATAATGATGAAAATGAGGTCCAGAGTCTAAATTATTTGCATAAGATCAAAAAATTAGTAATAGAACCAAGATTAGGCCACAATTAAAGTTTTTGTGTTTAGAAGGCAGGGAATTTTTAATTGAACGTTTGAACTTTTGCTTCAAACATCCTATCTAAAATATTGTGCATTGTTGTAGTTTAATATCAAAATATTTCTTTTTCAACAGCCTCAAAGAGTTGCTGAGAGCTAAATTAATTGAATGTGGCTGGAAGGACCAGTTGAAGGCACACTGTAAAGGTAATCAGTTTCATTTACAAGATAAACTAATTCCATTGTTCTTGTTGGTTTGGAGTTCACTAGAAAAATCATAGGCAGTATTTTAAGATCTGTTGAGTGCCGAGCATAATTTGAAACATACGAAAATTGAATCTTATAGTAATGATTTCCTCCTTTTGTCTCCTTTTGGTAGATGTAATTCCTGAATCTTTAGAAATTTTCTTTGTATTTTTTGTAACCAAGTGAGGCAAGATTTTCTCTCTCATCAGAGTATGGAATCCAGCCTTTTTCAGTGTCCCTACTCAAAGTGAAACATTAATTATTCCTATGTTTTAACTTTATAACAAATTGAACACTATCATTGGCAGACTTTATAGGAATTACATCTCTGGCTTTAACAATATTATTTTTTGAAGAATTTACCTACAAAAATCCTAGATAATTACACTAATTTTTTAAAATGTGGGGTGGAAGCTTGTTAAGTTACTGGGTGTTGATGAGGATACCACTAGATAAATTATACATGTCAAGAGATGAGCCTCCTTTTCTGGCTTAGCTTTGGTATAATGCAATTCTGGATATTTTCAATGAACTCCCATTATATTGTAATTGTTTCTACAATTAATGATAATAGAAACTATTTATATCATTAATCCTAAGAAGGCAATGTGGTGAGTTAGTAAAGGCATAGACTTTGAAGTCATACAGACCTTCACTGGAAGAGAATACAGCTGGACTTCAGCTCATGTTTGGATGAGTATTTAATCTTTAAGCCTCAGTAGGCTCACTTGTGAAGTGGAAAAATGCCTGGCCCATTAGATTGTTGTGAATATTAAATGCTGCAAAACACCCAGCACATAGTGTTCCAATAATGTTAACTCCTTTCCCTCTTCTTCTTTTGGCCTAGCCTAGAGAAGAGAAATGAACAAAAGAGTTGTTCTATAGTTTAATTTAGGGATATGAAATTACAAGTTAGACTCAAATAATAGCTTTTACCTCCCTCCATACATTCAGGAACTGCTATTATAGTGAAATAAGATCTGTACAGTTCTAAGTTTCCAGCTTTTTACACATTTTAGATTTGACTTTACAGTTCGAATTCATTCTGTTATATTTGTTAAGTTACAAGTGATTTAGCTGAGAGATGAATAGGTTTTTAAGATTTTGATCTGGTGAATACTTAATGTGTTTAAGGTTGACTAAATCTTCAATAGAAAAGAAAAAAAGAAGTGTCCTCTTTTTTTTTAAAGACCAGTCTGCACTCTAAAAACATGATCTTAACCCTTCCTCTATGAAAATCTTTCTTACAGATAATGATTTTAAATGATATGATTTGTTTTTTGCTTTTGCATAAGAGGTAATTAAAGAAAAAGGACTAGAACACGTTACTGTTGATGACTTGGTGGCTGAAATCACACCAAAAGGCAGAGGTAAGGAATACAAATTTTGTGGACGGAAACGTGTGAAGACATGATTTTTTTCTCTCTTGCTGGTTCAGTTTTTCTTTCTTTTTACAGGGAAAAATACCCTTTCTAAAATTATTTGGGTACTTGAACTTTCCTCATTGGGAAAGATAATTGCTACCTGCCTCTCTAGCATAGTCTTGAGTAATAAATATGATGAGAAGTATAAAATGTTTTTGCACTCTAAAACAGTATAGAAACATAAGTTCATAATGGTTGTTAAGACAGATAGTTTTTAAAATATGGGATTTTGTAGGGTCAAGTAGTACCTGAAGCTAGGATTCATAAGTTTTATTAGATATGGCCTGATTTCAGTAATCCAAAGTTTTACTCTAGCCCCACAGTCAATGCTCTGCTGTTGTTTTTCTTTTTAAAAATAAGTAAAGTTCTGGGGCACCTGGGTGACTCAGTGAGTTGAGCATCCAACTCTTAATTTCAGCTCAGGTCATGATCTCACGGTTGTGGGCTCCGTGCTGAGCGTGGAGCCTGCTTTGGATTCTCTCTCTCCCTGTCTCTGCCCTCCCTCACTTAACGCTGTCTCTCTCAAAAAAAAAATAAATAAATAAACATTTAAAAAAGAAAAGTTCTGTCTTCTTAACTGTCTAATTAAGAATTGGGCAGCTTCAAAATTTCATATTCAGGGTAACCTGTATTTAAAATTCACACTACAAACATCTTTATTTCCTTTCAGAAGGCAAAGGAAGGAGAGGAAATATATTAACATTGGTGATATGTAATAAATACTGAGTTAGGAGTTACATTGTTACCTCAGATGCAGCTATGTCATTTTCATTTATTTTGAGAAAGGGGTTTTTCTGGTCATTTTAAGTGTAAGCAGATAAATTAGATGATTCATTATCTGTTTTCTCACATAGAAATAGTGAAAAGAATTTAAGTGTGAAAAGTAAATGAGTTTGAAAATTATTGCTAGAGAATACTAATTCTCTGAACTATCTGCTGGGAAAGAGCTACAGAATCCCATCATCCTTTCCAGCCATCTGTAGGCCTGTTCACAGCTAAAAAAAACATGACTTTTTCATCAAGCATGTCTCAGGGAAAAGAAAAACAAAACAAGAAACAGTATGTATTGTTCTCCCCATGAATTTACACTTTAAAATCATTTTCTCCAATTTCTTTTTCTATTTTCTGTCTGTAATTTATGTTTAATCTATTAACATTTAGGAGCTGGTTATACAGGATGGAAATTTCCTTTGCTTCTCTTTCAACACTTGTATCCTGGACATTTCAATCCCGTATAACTCCACTGCTGGAAAATGAACAAGTACAGAACAGAGAAGTCAAAATAAATCCTTTCTTTTATGTCTTAGTCTTCTTTTATAACAGAAATATTTATTTTCTTTTTTTAAGATACAGTAGAATTGACTTTTTCTTAGTGTGCAGTGCTATGAATTTTATACACATATGTAGATTCACGTAACTACCACCCCCTATCCCTCAAGCTATCCTTTTATGGTCACACCTTATCCCTAACTCCAAGGCAACTAGACTGATCTAGTCTCCATCACCATAATTTTTATTAAAGTATGTTTAATGTACCTACTGATCCCATTTCTAGTGATCTTAATTATGTAGGCTTTATTTCTCAGAGGCTTAAATTAAACAATTTGTCAAGGGGAATAGGTGTCTTATTTAACTTGCATACTTATTTATGGAATTCACTACACAAATGTTGAACTGTACCTGAAGTTTTTAGTTTCCTTTAGATACAAGCAAGTAGCATTAGAAGTTCTGGTTCATTCCCAATTGTCCTTATTTATTAGTAGCCACAAAAGGAAAAATGATAGTGTAGATTCGTGTATTGACATTTAATAGTAATGAAAATTTCAAAGAGCAGGGCTTTTTTGTTTTTCATTTTTAGTTTGATACTCTGAATAGATAATAGTCACATGGTTCAACATTGAAAAAGTAAAAATACCATAAATGTAACCCCTGTCACAGTTTTTGCATCTTTGCTGAGTCAGAGAGTATGTGCACTTATTTCTACAGTATTGCCAAATTAGCTGCCCAAAAATGCGGTACCAATTTATATTCCCCACCAGCTAATACAAGAGCACCAGTTTTCCCTCAATCTTGCCAGCACAGGGTACTACCGACCTTTGGTTTTTAGCCAATATGATTGGTAAAACGTGGTGTCTGAATGTGGTTTTAATTTACATTTCAACTATGAGGCTAAACCCCTTCTGTGTTCAAGAACTGTGTTCCTCCTTTTCTTTATCTCTTTTGCTTGTTTTTCTTTTAGTCTGATCTTTTTCTTATCAATTTGGAGAAATTATATAGTAGAGAGGTCAGCCCAATTCTGTAAGTGTTTTCCCACTTTTGTCTTTTGCCTTTGTTTATGGTGATTTTGACCAACTTCTTGAATTGTCACTGTTGCATTTAAACCAAATTTATTAACCTGCTGTACCTCTGTATTTAAAAAAAGCCTTTTCCACTCCTAGTTTAAAGAATTTTCTTATGTTTTCTCATCGGTGTGCAGTGTAGTTAGGTATTGGACAGTTCACTCAAATAATGAATTGCAAATATACTTTTTCAGGTATCTTTACCTATTTATTGAAGCATGTGGGTTATTCATGAAATTATTAATTCAGAATAAGATATCAAATATCAAATTGACATATATTAATTGGAATCTTCTTACTCTTATATTTTATTTTTATATTTCAGCCCTGGTACCTGACAGTGTAAAGAAGGAGCTCCTACAAAGAATAAGAACATTCCTTGCTCAGCATGCCAGCCTTTAAGATTGAATTAGATTGTGTCGTTTTGTGGTTTTATTTCTGAAAGTAAAACTTGCCATAAATTAGGAATCAATTTCCCAAAATAAAATCCTTTTTTGTATGATGGTATACAGTTTTCAGTAATGATGTATACATTGTATTGATTTTTTTCCCTAAATGTGTTATTTTAATAAATATCTCATGAATGAGTTTGAAGTTTCCTTGGATTTGCGAATAAAAGGGACTTTATTAATAATTTGCCAGATTTGTTGAAAAAGTCAGCAATTAATACAGTTTAAATGTTAAGTATGTGCATATATCTGTGCTAACAACCGAAGAGAAGTAAGCAGGCTCTTCTATTGTCTGGATGTGGTGTATTCCTCTTTTGAATCTCTATGATATTTTATAATACATGTCCCATCTTGTACTACAGATGTCTAATTTCTGATTTGTTATAAATGCTGAGGGTTGGGACTGGGTCTTAATCATCTTTATGTGCCTTCCTTATTCCTCAAAGAATTTACCATCCTATTGGAAGAGAGAACATTTGCAAACTGGCTTCATACCACGCTCCTCTCACATACTCTACTCATCTGAACTTTGAGAGCAGAAGCTCTAAATTGCATCCCCACATACTAAGGTCAAGAAAGAACTTGCTGGGAAATAATCTCCACCTGTAGCTTTACTCTGACATCAAGATTGCCAAATCCAATGGACTCTTACCTATTCTTATGTGACCTCTGCTGGAATGAGAATGTTGACCATCCTGCCACTTGGAACTTTCTTCCCACTCCTCACATTGTGTTTTCCTACACTGGAAGTTCCTTCTGTTTCTTGTGGATACCTTTTGCTGTATGGGACTTTAAATAATGGTGTGTTTTAGTGCTCCCTCCTGGGCCCTCTGCTTGACTAATGATACACTTTTCCTGGGCAAATCCCAGGATACTTGGGTTGGACTGTGGCTTCAAATATAAACTTGGTGATAAATGGTAAATTGTATCTCCAAACCAGACTTCAACCCAGCCTCCAGACCCGAATACCCAACTGCTGTGGATCAGCTTTCTTGGATGTTCCATAAACACCTTAACCTGACCACATCTAAGACAGTGACTTCTTTTCCTCCAATAACTGCCCTTACTGTGTTCCTTATCTCTGTGAGTGGTACCTGCCAGATCTACAGATTAAAATACTAATTCAGAAGGTAAGAGGTATGGCACAAGATTTCTCTATTTCAGACAGGTTCTCAGTCAAGGTTTATGCTGCTGAGGGAGGACACTGTGTAGCAAGGTTGTAAATTGTCCACTTCCTGCCCTCTTGACTGCCTTAGGTCAGACTGATAATTGCAGTAGGCTCCTATTTTAGTTGTCCATGCCTCCAATGACTCTTCCACAGGATTACCTAAGTGATCTTACTAAAAGTCAAGCCTCATCATTTTTTTCTGCTTGAAATTTCTCAGCGGCTCTTAGTTTACAGAGTAAAATTCAAGCTTGACCATAGCACGTAGGTCTGACATTTACTTATTTCTAGTCGCTCTAAAGAGTCCCCAAAAGAATAAAATTACTTCATCCCTCAATAATTTTGAAAATCCATCAACTTAGCCCTTTTACTTTCATTCCTATCTGACCTTCAGAATTCAGCTTGAGTTGTTGCTAAAACATTCTAACATTCCTTTGCTTTCGATTCCCCACCCCTTTTTTTCTGTAAGAAGCACCTGTGCATAATTTCTCTTCACCACAGTGGTTCCTGAACTTTACATATATCTCCTGGAGGAAAGGAAACATTTTTTGACTTTGATATTTGTGGATAGATGGACAAGGAAATGAACATATATAGGAGCACAAAATAAGATAATACAATTGGGTATAGTTGAGAAAAGACTTCATGTTAATTTTTGGTTCACTGTCCCAGAGATATAATTTTAACTTTCCAATGAACTTCTATTTTAGGTGTAGTCTGAACCAGCTGGACCTAATTATATAAAGTGACCTCTCTCTCTCTCCCTCACACACAATCAAAACCTACACGAGAGTTTTTGTTTCATCTCTTACAAAGCAATGATCTAAAGTAATGATAGTTATGTTCATTTTTCTGTTGCCCGTTATCAAAAAGGAAACAAATGGTACATCAAAAGTGTTAAAAACAATTCTTATTTCATAGTACGGTGTATGAAAACAAACCAAAAATTGATCATGAAGATATTTAGTAGCTCAAAAGGAAAATGAAAACAAAATACTTTGAAATGGAACAACAAAAAGCTGAACTGAAAATACTTTATAGCAATCAAAAGTACCAAAGAGCATAGTTTTAAAATCATAGTGCCCAAAACTTCCCACCTCTACCCCACCACCTCTAGGTTTCTTTGACATCTCAGAAATGTCTTGTTTGCATCCAGCATCATTGATACCTTTGAAACTAACTTCTTGACTCACATCACTGGTTTATGTAAACTAGGAATACATCGTTTAAAGATCTTGCACCCTTCCATTCCCAATGTCAGGAATTCAATAGGAGATTACTGTTACGGGGCTGAACTGGGTGAGTGAAATACTAATTGAGATTACTATAAGCTTCTCCTGGATAGGATTAAAGAAGACCAGACTAAATTATTTATGTAATCACTTTGCTTTGGCATTAAGAGTGTATCATTTGGTTGAGCAGAGCCAAGCTCAAGATGATGCTGGAGATTGGTAATTAGATATGGGACTTTTCATAACTTGATAAAAGGCTCCATCTAACTCAAGAGAATTGTGACAGCTGCTCAGTAGCTGATGTTGGAAGTGATCCAGTGTGTGTGTGTGTGTGTGTGTGTGTGTGTGTGTGTGTGTGTGTGTGTGGTGTGAACCCTTCTTGTAAATGGCTATCTCATGTTACTCAGTGACTTCATAAAACCCTTCATATTATCATTAGAAACCACACAAAAGTCATTGGATGAATCCACCAAGAAAACCAACAGGTGCAGTCAGGCAATTCAAGTTCTAGTTTCATCTCTGACACTGAATTATCAGGTAAGACTGACTCTTCTGCCTCAGTTTTCTCATCTGCATAATAGGTCTGATATTATCCTGCAAGAATTAAAATAATTACAAAGTTGTTAGTACTATGAATAAAATAGTCATAAAAGCAATATGGATTTGAGTTACTCCTAGGAAAAACTCTAGAAATCTGTAATTATTTACCATGTGTTTTCTGGATTTATACAGATATATGAATTACAATGTATGTGGAAAATAGCTGCTTTTATTTTTTCAGGAATTTCTATATACTATTAATTACCATGATAATACCTATAAAAATGAAGATAACAAACATGCCTTTGGTTGTAATAGATTAAATTGCACTCTAATAGTACTTAGGGAGGGTTGAAATTATCTGTAGTCAGTTTTACCCTCATTCTACTATTAACCCCTCTATGACACAGACTGTATACCATTTATCTTTTGATCCTAAGTGCCTAACAGAATAAATTCTTGATAAGTTCTTTTAAAGATATGAATAATAAACGCAACAGAGAATGAAATTTGGCATGTGCCTATTTATTCCAGACTTCAAATTGTGCTGTTCTGTCTGTCAGCCACCAGAGGGCACTTGAAGCCCGTAGTTTGGTTCCATCCGGGGCTCTCCCTAACCCCAGTGTGTTCTCTTGACAGGCCTAATTTCAATTCGGGCCAGCCAGATTTTTCAAGATGAAAGTGCTATTGAATTAAAACTTAATGTGAGGACCTCAGAATTTATACCAGAATGTGGTTCTGGTATAAATTAAAATGAAGCTACAGTGAGATGCGTTGCTTTACTGGTATCATTTTCTGAAGTCAATCCAGTGTTTCAGACAGCAAGTTGGATTTAAATAGCATATGCCATGACTGAAATAGTTCTGTTTCAGCTATTTTATCAAAAAAAGGACAGTAAATTCTTAATAAAAAGTGAAAGAAAATCTCCAGTGTCTTATTTCCCTGTCATCGTGGTCCTCTCTCATAGAGTCCTTTTAGAAGGGAATAATACTCATATCTTCCTTTTTTCATACTATGTTAGTGTTTAAAAAAGGAAAGTATAAATAGAACATTATATAGTGCCAAAACCCTGTAGACACTCAATGAATGTTGGCTTATGATGATGATGGTAAAGAATCCCAGTTAATGAAGGCAGATAGATTCTGTACTTGGGATTCAATGTCGCTCATAAAGTAACGTTGAGTACAGGAACTGGTGCCGGTACTTAGGGCATTCATAAATGCTCTGGCATAAATGCTCATAAATGTTCTGATCACCAGAACTGAGTGATAATAAATGGCTTTCAGTTACTGCAAACCTTCCGAATCCAAAATTATCTGTTGAGGGCACATCTTTAAGAATTTATCCTTTCTAGGCGGCTATTTATATCCAAATTGGGTTTTGACAAAGTAAGAGGCATAATGTCCAGTAATGAAAATAGAGACGTCCATCAAGCCCCAGCCCTTCCAATGTGCAGGCGATTTGGGTAGTGATATATATTGTGTCATTTGAGGAGCGTTCAGTTTGGCTAATATAGCATGTGAGTACGTACTCTGGTTCTCTTCTCGGATGTATCATTGATGTGCTTGGTGATTTCATTAGTCACTTACAAAGTTCTACATGACGGTTGCCTATCATCCACATGATTCCTTTCTGCTAGGGATGCTGAAAATATAAAAAAGCAGGAGAATCACAGAGGTCCTCTTAGCAGGTGTAACATAAAGTCAAAGTTATAGGAAAGGACTTTACAAGTCCTTATGTATAATACATGCTGTACTTCTAGCAGTGGGGCTCATGAAACAGTTTTGTGTATGGGATCTATCTCCCAGATTTTGTCTCATGCATAAACATTTTTGGCAGACCTAGGTACTGAAAAACACAGATGTATTCACTGATCAGCTGCTTTTCCTATGTTCCTGACCCAGTTCTTTCACAATATGGAAACTTTGTAGAAACCTCCAGTTAACCAACTATCCCTTTATTATTATCCTCACTCCCTTCATGGTCTCGTTCCCTCCTTTTACCCATTGATGGTAAAAGTTGATGGTTTATCATTAGAACTCCTTTACAATTAACTTTAACTTCTCTCACCCTTTTTCCCCCCAATCACACACAGTCCTGCTTAAATGTAACTACCCTGAGAGCTTACTCCCTCCACGCATCTTATCCC